TGGATTCATAGCACTTTGTAGATCAGCTTGGTCAACAACTATGTTGATCCAACAACCCTGAAAGTTATCTCAGTAAAGACCTATCGTGGGGTTTCTAAGCTAATCCATTATATTTAAGCTTAATTTGCCAATGCTAGCAGATTTGGTTCTCCTTATTAAACCTTCACCAGTACTCCTTTCATCTGACACACTTATCTATTCAGAACTTATTTTGCGCTCCAGATCTAAAGCAAGTTTGCGCATACCTTTTAATCTTCCGTTTATGATTTATTCTGAGGTTTTTCGACTGTTCATGTTCCTTGATCTCCGTCCGTATATTTGGGACTTCCGTAGGGAATTCAGACTTCATTGGATGTCGAGTCAAATGCAGTTCTACTGAGAAATCCTTCATTTGATCAGCCCTAAAACAGAATTGTCATTTCCGATTTGCCTCTGATGGCTTTAGAAAAACTAGCGACAGCTGTATGCGAAGCATCGCCTTGGAAAGTTATCGACCGATTTGGGCTGTTGAAAACTCGCTTTCTGAAATGGAAGATTGATGGAGGTTGATAATAAACGTAACGCATTTTATGAAGTACGGTACTCACCGAGGATTGTATAATATAAGGTTGAAAACAAGGGATAGCAATAGCCGACCGCGATGATACCAAATTTTGGAGGTACAAGATGTGCGTAGTTGAATTTTCGCAACAGGGAGAATTCAAACAGGTGGTGGATTTCGGCTGTCTTTCTTGAATGCAAATTATTATCTGTAATTCAATGCAATGCAATCTATGAATGTTCAACTAAAAATAAATCGAGTAATTCTCACATCTCTTTGTATTGAGACAGCAGTCGGCGAGAAGAAGTTGAAATTGAATGTTTGGATTTTTTCCGGACGATGGCTTTCCTCAGGTTGATGCGCATGAATTGAGCAAGCTGAACTCACGACTAGCGGATTATATGAAATCAAGCAACATGTAGCAAGTTTAAACACTTACAGAAAAACGCTAAATTCGGTTTGTCCAGACCGCAAACACACTTCATAGCATATTTGCTCCACTGATCTGATAGCTCCCACAGATAGCAGATAATCAATTTGTCGTCCACGTATAAATAGGACCGATTGAACAAGACCATGTCGTTCGGGAGCATCGGTACACCTCGATCTTTCAATGTGTTGTACAGTTTACATGGGCCTGCGAAATGCGGAAACAATTACGGTCAAGTAAACATAGGCATTATAATGGCGATCAAGAACTGCATCACCCTCGATCGTCGAGTTGTTCCAATCAAGTGCAAAGTTCACATATCAATTTATCAGCGAAATGAAACTCGTTGTAGAATGGAACGTAGAGAAAGTAGAAAGATCACGTTTATTTCACATACCGAATTGATGGATATCTCTGCCTGTCGATAGTCCAAACACTTGAATCGAGTGAGGTGTATTTTTTCGTAAAACCACTGACTTCCGAAAAACCATGCGTAACCCTCTGACCGCAATCGGTCCACGCAAAGCAAAGATGTATGTTTGATCGTTTTGCCGGAAGAACGTGGCCTGAAAGGATGAGAGCAGAAATGCAGTGATCTTTACGCTTATCATTCAAGATTATGTTTTGTTCCAAACCATTTATCTTCCCAAGTTTTTCCCATGGACAAGTTAGCAACAGCTGCCAAATCAGGAGATTGGTGTCTCTTTATTATCTGCGGGAATGTTTCCAATATGTGTCCACTCACTTTACTATGATACGATCGGCATTCCGCGTGCAACACGCACTCCCGAAGTCGTCTACAAGTCAGTGGCATCTTCTACGCCAAATCCTATTACTGATTCATGATCTATCCGAATGAAAATGCAAACAATTCTGATCTTTATGGTGATCTGACTCGCCAATTCACTTATCACGGATTGGTTGGCTTGCATTCGATTGGTTGCGCTACACTTGCACGCTCTCCGTCACATTGTGGGCATTTTCACTATTGCACTCACTACCATGCGCCGTCGTTACTCACGGGATGATATTATTTGTTTTAAACGTGCCAGGACATGCTCCGATGGTTCTGCGGTCTGTGCAACTCC